AGTCTGTTAGGCGAAGCCTGACGGTGGGGCTAATACCCCTGCTGTACGGTGGATTCACAGGCGATAGCATTTCTTTTTAAGAGAGTAATCGGAGAGTCATTGTCTGTGCCTTTCTATAGATTAAGAATACCGTATACGGAAAAACAAAAAAAAAGATGAAAATTTATAAAAGTCTTCGCTTAACAGACATCGTCTTCTCTGTGCTCATTGGATTTGCTTTTTTCTTTGCTATATTTCTTTTTAGTACTGTTGTTTCCATTCTTGCTGATGAAATTCCATTTTTAATTCATAATTGTTTTGATTCTTGTTTCTTTTCTGTTAGCTTTATTAGTGTAAATTTCTATTCTACTAATAACAATAAATCTACAATTGATTGATCAAAAATTTTAGGAAAAAAAGGTTCTTTAATGTCTGCACATCTATTAGCTATTAAATATATTAATGAAGGAAAACCTATAACAGCAGAAAAAGTTAATAAAGTTTTAGCTTTTTCTGGTATTAAAATTACTCAAAATTTTAACTTTCTTGCTGCTTTTTCTACTTATTCTCAATTAAAAGGCGATGCTTCTTCAAATCCAAAAAATAATGAAAAACTAGATCCTTACTATATTACAGGATTCGCGGACGGTGAAAGTTGTTTTAATGTTAATATATATCAACGATCAATTAATAAAAGAAGGTATGTGGAATCAAGGTTTATAATAGATTTACATACTAAAGATTTACCTTTGTTACATAAAATTCAGTCATTTTTTGGAGGAATAGGTAGAATTAACATCGCTAATTACAGAGAATCAGCTAGTTTTTCTGTGTCAAAAATAAGTGATTTAGTTAACATAATTATTCCACATTTTCAAGAATATCCTCTTAGAAGTGCTAAGATTATTGATTTTAATATTTGGGAAAAAATTGTACAATTAATGTCTAATAAAGACCATTTAACAGAAGAAGGATTTAATAAAATTATTAATTTAAAGTCTGACCTTAATTTAGGCCTGTCTGATAAAATAAAAGATGCACTTCCAAATGTAAATTCAATAGTTCGACTTGCTTCTTCAGGTAGCAATACTACTACTACTTCTCTGGATCCTAATTGAGTGAGTGGATTTACGGAGGGTGAGGGATGTTTCTTTGTTAAAATTTCTAAATCTAAAGCGTCTAAAACAGGATTTTCAGTTAATTTAATTTTTATTTTAAGCCAACATTCTCGTGACTTCGAATTAATGAAAAGTTTAGTGAAAAATCTCGGGTGTGGAATAACTAGTTTCAGAAATAAAGATTTTGTTGAATTTAAAGTATCTAAGTTTGAAGATATAAATAAAAAGGTTATTCCGTTTTTTGATAAGTATCCACTTCAAGGATTCAAAGCATTGGATTACAATGATTTCTGTAAAGTAGCGGCGTTAATGGAAAATAAAGTCCATTTAACTAGCGAAGGATTAGAACAAATCCGTAAAATTAAATCTGGAATGAATACTGGAAGAAAGTATAATTTTTAATTTCTTCTTTAGCCTTAATATGATTTTGTTTTTTTTTCTTACTTCTTTACATGTTGATTGCTATTTTGAGTGGATTGTTAGATAAAATACTTAGTGAAAAAAGATTAGAATTCTCAAATTTAGATCCTAATACTATAAGGTCAGATAAATTTTTACAATCTATAGGTACAGTAAGAAGTAAAATACAATTGCCTGGGGTATATATATTTTCTCATATAGCTACAGGTAGTTTGTATGTAGGTTCATCCTCTACATTAGCTCGTCGATTAATAGGTTATTTTAATAATACACATAAAACAACTGGAAAGTTGATACCTTTAATTAAAAAGGAAGGTATAGGTGCTTTTAATTTGCAAGTAATACCTTTAATAGATTCGTACACTGTTAATCAAGAACTTAGTTTAGAACAATATTTTTTATTACATTCTAAATTTAATCTTAACACTCTTAAAGTAGTAAATGATTTTTCAGGCGCAACTTATTCAAATGCTGAGCTTCAAAAGGAACAGATTTTAGAAGAGAACAGAGGAAAATCTGGAATATATCTATGAACTAATAAATTAAATGGTAAGTCGTACGTAGGGTCTGGAGTAGATTTAAAGGATAGACTCAAAAAATACTATTCATTAAATTTTATGAGGACTCGAATAAAATTAGGCCAAAGTGCTATTTATAGCGCTATATTAAAATATGGGCATTCTAATTTTAAGTTAGAGATCCTAGAATATTGTGAACTATCCGATGTGATAGATAGAGAAGGATACTATTTTAATCTCTTGAAACCAAAGTACAATCTCTTACCAACAGCAGGCTCTTGATTAGGCTTTAAACATTCTGAAGAATCTAAAAACAAAATAAGGGCGTCTCTAATTGGTAAAAATGCGGGGAAAAACAACCCAATGTTTGGTAAGACAGGAGAAAAGCATCCGAGGTTTGGTAAAATTCATTCAGAAGAAACCAAATCTAAAATGAGTGAATCTAGTGGTCCAAAAGTCGACCTTAGAAC